ATCCCAGGGCCTGTGCCACTGCTGTGTGCCCCCATGCCAACCAGAGACACTATGGTGAACCCTGAAAACCAGGTTCCAGTTCCATGGGAGATCTGCACACATGTGCACCCCAGACACCAGTGCCACAGCTGCAACAAGTGCACCTGTGCCCCAGGTACTGTGGTAGTTCTGGACGTGCCTGATCCTGGGACGCAAGCTCTGATACTGCTCTGAGTGCCAGCATGCCAGGAAAGGAGCAGAGAAGGATCCTCTTGGTTAGAACTTCCCCCCATGGGCAAAAAAAGTAAGAACAGGAAGACTTGAGTAGCCAGAGCCTTCACCTCCAAGGATCCCAACAGCACTACCTGCCACTGCCACATGTATGACCTCTGCAATCTTGGCCACAGAAGATCCCCACAGTACAGCCCTTGTCAACCTCAGTTAATGAAGCTGCACAAAGACTATGCGACTGTGCCTCCTAAACAACCGAACACACTGCATCCCACTTAGCTGGTGCTCTTGCAGCCACCTCCAGGTGAAAGTCTTTCCCCACTGGAGCCAGTCCTAAAAGGCTGGAAAAGGTAACTGCAACCTCAAATGTGCAGACATCAATGCAAAGCCATCAGAAACACAAGAATCCAAGGAAACATGACACCACCAAAGGAATACTGTAATCTTCCAGTAACTCTCCCCAAAGAAATGGATATCTATGAGTTACCTGAAAGAGAATTCAAAATAACTATTTTAAGGAAGCTCAGTGAGATTGAAGAGAACATAGATAGACAACTCAATGAACTTAGGAAAACCATACATGAGCAAAATGACAAGTTCAACAAACAAATTGTAAAAAATAATTAAACAGAAATTCTGAAGCTTAAGAAAACAATGAATGAAATGAAAAATACACTCGGTAACTTCAACACCAGGGTCAATCAGGCAGAAGAAAGAATCTATGAGCTTGAAGACAGATCTCTAGATATTATCAAGTCAGAAGATAATAAAGAAATTAGAATTAAAAAAGAGTGAAGAAAGCCTAAGTAAATTGTGGGACACCATTAAAAAAAACAATACCCATATTATGGGAGTCTGAGAAGAAAAGGAGAGGGGAAAAAAAGGACACAAAACTTATTTAAAGTGATAATGACTGAAAACTTCCCAAATCTGGGGAGAGAAATGGCCATTCAGGTACATGAGGCCCCCAAAGAAATTCAAACCAAATTGATCGTCACCAAGACATATAATCAAGCTCTCAAAAACCAAAGACACAGAGAATTCTGAAAGCAGCAATAGAAAAAAGACTCATTCCTTACAAAGGAATCTCGATAAGGTTATAGGCAGATTTCTTAGCAGAAACCTTACAGGCCAGAAGAGATTGGGCTGACATATTCAAAGGGACCAAAACAAAAACCTGTAAACCAACAATAATTTACCCAAGAAAGTCATCATTCAGAAATGAAGAAGAAATAAAGACTTTCCCAAACAAAAGCTGAGGGAATTTATCATCACGAGACCTGCCCTACAAGAAATACTAAGGGGAGTTCTTGAAGCTAAAACAAAACAAAGCTAATTGGTAATCTGAAAACAGATGAAAGTATAACATTCACTGGTAAAGGGGAATATATAGTGAACTTCGACATACTCTATTGGAGGCGTAAAGTGAGGTTATTATGTCAAGTAACAACCTCACTTTACAATTCGAGTAGCTAGAAAGAAAAAATGAAGCCCAAATTTAGTAGAAAAAAGGAAAGAACAAGGAACAGAGTGAAAGAGAAGAAAAAAAATAGAAAAGATCAATGAAATGAAGAGCTGGTTTTTAGAAAAGATGAACAATCTACCACCTTTAGCTAGTCTCACTAAGAGAAAAAGAGGACTCAAAATGAGAAATGAAAGAGGAGACATTATAAACGATGCCATGGAAATACAAATGATCACAGGAGATTACTATGAACAAGTAAACACCAAACAATTGGACAACCAAGAAGAAATGGATAAATTCTTGAAACATACAACCTACTGGGACGGAATCATGAAGAAATAGAAAATCTGAATAGAACAATTACTAGTAAGGAGATTGAATCAGTAATCAAAAACTTCCCAACAAACAAAAGTCCAGGACCAGATGGCTTCACTGGTAAATTCTAAACTTTGAAATACATACCGATTCTTCTCAAATTCTTCCAAAAAAGAGATAAGGAGGGAATATTTCCGAACTCATTTTATGATGCATTACCTGATACCAAAACTAGACAAGAACATCACAAGAAAGGAAAATTACAGGCCAATATCCCTGATGAACATAGATGTAAAAATCCTGAACAAAATATTAACAAACTGAATTCAACATTGCATTAAAAGGATCATACATCATGATTAAGTGGGATTTAATCCAGAATGTAAAGATGGTTCAACACCCACACTTCAATGTGATGTACCACATTAACAAAATGAAGGATAAGAATCATATGATCATCTCACTACATGCAAAAAAAGCCTTTTACAAAATTCAATATCCATTTATGACAAAAAATTCTCAACAAAGTGGGTATAGAAGGAACATAGCTCAACATAATAAAGGCCACATATGACAAGCCCACAGCTAACATCATACTCAATGGTGAAGAGCTGAAAGTTTTTCCTCTAAGATCAGGAACAATACAAGGATGTCCATGCTCACCACTTTCATTCAACACAACAGTGGAAGTCCTAGCCAGAGCAATAAGGCAAGAAAAAGAAACAAAATTCATCCAAATCAGAAAGGAAGAAGTAAAACTGTCATTATTTGCAGATGACGTATTATATAGACAAAACCCTAAAGACTCCACCAAAAAACTGATAAAACTAATAGTAGTAAAGTTTCAGGAAACAAAATTAGTATACAAAAACTTATTGTGTTTCTATAGACTAATAACAAACTATCAGAAAGAGAAATTAAGAAAACAATCCCATTTATAATTGCAGCAAAAAGAATAAAATACCTAGGAATAAGTTTAACCAAGGAGGTAAAAGCCCTGTACATTGAGCTAGCTTTCTGAAAAGATAAACAAAACAGACAACCCTTTAGCTAGAGTCACCAAGAAAAAAGGAGAGGACTCAAATAAATAAAATCAGAAATGAAAGAGGAAACATTACAACTTGATATCATAGAAACACAAAGGATCAGAAGAGACTGCTGTGAACAATAACACACCAACAAATTGGACAACCTATAAGAAATGGATTAATTCCTAACAACATACAACCTACCAAGACTGAATCATGAAGACACATAAAATCTGAAAAGACAAATAACTAAAAGGAGATTGAAGAGGTAATCCAAAACCTCCCAACAAAGAAAAGCCCAGGACTAGATGGTTTCACTGGTGAAACTACCAAACACTGAAAGAAGAATTAACACCAATCCTTTTCAAACTCTTCCAAAAAACTGAAGAGGAGGGAACACTCCCAAACTCATTTTACAAGGCTAGCATTACCCTGATACCAAAGCCAGATAAGGACATTACAAGAAAAGAAAACTACAGATCAACATCCCTATAAATATGGATGCAAAAATTCTCAACAAAATATTAGCAAACCAAACTTAACAGCACATTAAAAGGACCATATACTATGATTGGGTGGGATTTAGTCCAGGGATGCAAGGATATTTCAACTTATGCAAATCAATAAATGTGATATGCCACATTAATAAAATGAAATAAAAAAATCATATCATCTCAATATGCAGAAAAAGCATTTGACATAATACAACATCCTTTCAGGATAAAAATGCTCAAAAATTTCCTAGTACGGAAGGAACATTCCTCAGCATAATAAAGGCCATATACAACAAACTCACAGCTAATGTCATACTCAAAGGTGAAAGGTTAAAATCCTTTCCTCTTAAGATCAGGAAAAAGACAGGAATGCCCACTTTTGCCATTTCTATTCAACATAGTATTGTAAGTCATAGTCATAGCAATTAGGCAAGAAAAAGAAATAAAAGGTATTCCTATCAAAAAGGATTATCTTTGTTTACAGATGACATGACCTTATATAAAGCCCTAAAGATTCCCCTAAAGTACTGTTACAACTAATAAATGATTTCAGTAAATTTGTAGGATACAAAGTCAACATACTGATATCAGTTTCATTTCCATACACCAACAACAAACTAAGAGAAATTAAGAAAGAGAAATTAAGAAAGCAATGCCATTATGATAGCACTGAAAACAATGAAATACTTCGGAATAAGTTTAAGGAGAAGTGTAAGACCTATATATTGAAAACTATTAAGACACTGATGAAGGAGACTGAAGAAGACACAAATAAATGGAAAGATGTCCTGTGTCCTCAGATTGGAAGAATATTATAAAAATGTCCACAGCTGTTTAAGGGTGCAAATTTGCAACTGTAGATAGATAGGCTCTGGAGAGCTAATGCACAACATAATGATTAAAGTCAACAATACTGTATTATAAATTTCAAAGTTGCTAAGAGACTAGATATTAATTGTTCTCACCACAAAAAGGAAATGATAATTATGTGACATGATGGAGGTGTTAGCTAATGCTACTTTAGCAATCATTTTGCAATATATAAATGTATCAAAAGCAACACATTGTATACCTCAAACTTACAGAATGTTATATGTCAATTTTTTAAAAAAAGGTTTATTTAATATTCATTTGAATAAAGAAAGAAAGAAGGAAACGACTTACCTTTCAATGAGCTTGTTCACAAGCCGCTATTTTTTCCTGTTTAACACTGACTGCTGAAGGTCAAGATTCAAGTAACTATTACTTCAGTACCTCAAGTAACATGAAAACCTTACAACATCTGCGGACCTGACAGTCACTTAAGGATCCTACTTTATTGGTTCCCGTTTTCAGCACTTCCCATTTAAAATTTTCAAGAAATGCAACCCACATTTCACTCAATAATCCAAAACTCTTTTGAATAAAACTCAGGTAAGTATCAATATATTTCAACTATATAAAGATATGAAACAGAGTCAATGTTAATAAAATAATAAAATCTCTTACCTTCTGGATCATAGGTTTGGAAAACTCTCCTGGCTTGCTCTGAAGGAGCCTCAGGGGCAACTAAAGCCATATCCTGAAAAGAGAAAAAGCACACTATGAACCAGCTACAGTATGATGACAGTAAAAATAAGCAAAACAATTAGGACGCTAGGTGAAGAAATGACGGCATCCGCAGTCAGAAGACTTGGAGTTATACTTCTATCATAGGTAGGTGACTAGATAAGTCACAAACTCTCTGGGCCTTAATTTTATTTCCAAAAGTGGGAATAATACTTAACTACAGAGATTTGTTGTGAGAATGATGTGAAGTTTTACAAAAAAAACACTTGAAAAGTTTAATATAATTACTATAAAATGAAAATCTGCAAATATTAATGATATACATTTGTTTTACATTACAGTGCAAGAAGAAATATCTTAAAATATACTCTAGTTTTCAAGTATTTAAAAATTAAATCCAGAGATAAATGATGGCTAACAATTACAGATCAATATATTTGACATTTTACTTTAGTGAGCATGTTATATCAATACCTAGCCAAAGATCAACAATCAAGTTCTGCATGTCCAGAATTGAACTTTTCTTAATTCAGAGGAAATACCCAAAAGGCAGAATTATTCCTTGTCCATAAAACTAATTTTCTATCATGACTAATTTCCTTACACAGTAAGCAACATTACTATTTATCAAAAATAAGCACGAAATTTAGTGTTATCTTAGACTCTTCACAAACCTTTATGCCACATATTTAAGATACTATGAAATTCTTACTAGACTAACACGAATCTAGAACCCAGGCTCCAGCCGTGATCCTCTATTCGCAGCTTTGGTCTAAGCCTTCATCCGTAATTGTGTTCACTCAGACAAACCTTATTAGAAAATAAGTTTCCAAGTATCCCTTTTTACCATCTTGAATCCTTTTTAAGAGGTTGTGGGGTATAAATGTTAAATACAATTTAAAATGCTGTTTCTCTGTGGAAACAAATTTTTGTAAGAAATGTACTAATTGACCTTTACCCTAATCATTCCATCCTTACCCTGTAGGAGTTAAGAATCAGAGTAGTTCTTATCCACCCAGGAGACTAGATGCCTGAACACCTTAACGTTCAGTTTATATGGGAATATAAATCAAAAGGGAATGGGAATCAAAAGAAGGCAATATATACAAGCCTTTATGTATTTTTCATATATTAAAATAAAAGATAAAATTAAACTATCTGGTATTTTACAAACTAAAATTCCGTAATGCAGTCATTTTCCATTTACCATCCTTAATAGCAACTTTTAGGGTCTCCTTTTCCTGCATTTTCAGTATTTTGCAGATAATATGCACGTCAAGTGACATGTTTTCGTGCCCTTTCAATGGGCTTTCTGATTTTACAATCCAGCCCTTTACCGCTGGTTACTAGGATTGTGTCTTTTTCTATTATAAACAATGTAGCACCAAATAAGCCTGAGCATGTAATTTCATACATGTACGGTTATATCTGTAGGACAGAGCATCAGAGTAGGATTGCTGGGTCAAAGGAGGAATATATGTGTAATTTAGGTAGATATTGCTAGATTCTTGGGTTTTGTTTGTTCATTTAATCTTTTCTGAACATATTTCTTAAAACTCTTTCCTTTAGATCACTAATACAGCCTTAGCTCTGTAATTAACTTTGTATCAAAGCTAGGATTGCAGTGTTAGCTCTTAGGTTTTGGGGAACAATTACAAACATTGGGGCTACTATTATTATTATTCCTTAGCTTCTTTTATCACTCCCAAACCTTAACTTCAAAAATTTCTACATGTATTCCCCTATAAGCTTTGGCTCCCTTAACTATTTCCAACCTTACTTTTTTCTTTCTTCAATTCTTCCCTTTAGAATGACTCGGAATTTGTGGATGAACACCATAACTGAGTCACGGAAATAATGGCAGAGGAGCAGGCATACAGCGGCAGATGAGGTTGTACGAAAGGGGAAGCGCACAGGGGCTCGAGATGAGGATACTGTCATTCTCTCTATTCACCGTCTGTTGCATTTCAACCTTTGTAACTTAGTGATGAGGAGAAGCTTGAGATGAGTTTTAAAACATTACTTCAAATTTTCCAAATATCATTTAAAAACTATGATCTAAATAGAAGAAAAGGGAATACTGTTTTTCTTGGTCAAAAACCAAAAGAATCTTTTTAGGGGAAGAAGTGGTGGAGAATACAATTGAAGCATTATTTCACTATTCCTACAAAGTGAAGTTTTGGGAAATCACCACTGTTATAAAGTTGAGGAAACAAGGAAGATTCCAGTTTTAGCAATAGAAAAAGGTTTACAGTGACTTCTCTGGCATTAAAGATTTCAGAAAATATAGGAGCACAAAAAGAATTTAAAGTGAACTGCCTGATGCCTTATTTCTAAGTTCCAAGTGCTACCAAAAAAAAAAAAAAAAGTACACTACGTTAATGTAGAAAGGAATTAAAGCAGACCGAATGAAAATTTCACTGCATATCTCTTGCCTCTGGTTATGAATATATAACAAACTTCGGCTTTAGAAAATGTTATTCTTCTTTGAATAGGCTATATATGCTCGCCTGATATAGAAAGATGGGTAAAACTCCTGATGTACTCTGGTTTAACAAGTGTTCCTTTCGAGCAGGGGTTGGCAAATTTTTCCTGTAAAGGGCCAGAGAGCAAATATTTTAGGTTTTGCAGGCCCTTATGGTCTCAGCAGCAAGATAACACAATAATACATAATCAAATGAGCATGGCTGTGTTCCAATAAATATTTCACAAAAATAAGTGGTGGCTTGATTTGGCCTGTGGGCCATAGTTTGCTGACCTATGATTTAGAGAATATATTTTTTTCCCCAAATGCTCTAACACTTATTAAACACTCCTTGTTTTTGACACATCTGGGGATATAAAGCTGTCTTAATCACCTTAATAGGTTTTACAGAAAAGATATTTTGTCTCTCATCTGAAAGAGAAAAGAAGGTAGAGAATTCAGCTAGAAGGAACAGAATCATGAAAGGTAGAGAGATGTGACATAGCAGAGCACAAGGGGAACCGGAAGACTCGAAAAGGACTGAGAACTGTGAGGAAAAAGGAGTAGTTACAAAGGGAAATCAGCTTTGATGGAAGAATGAATTTAACTGTGAACATTTAGAGTTTGGAAGTGATGGTTAACATCCAAGTAGAGCACATGGAGTTACCTTAATGTTTGCACACTATGAACACTTAATGTCTGCCAACGGCATGCTTTTTCCAGGCTGGGAGAACTAGCACGTGAGCACTAGAGCTTAGGGCTGGGGAACCTACCAGGGAACATGCTGAACAGATGAAAGCACATTAATGCAAAGACGTGGGGATAGACTTTTTCCAAAAAAGGAATTCAGATAGCAACTTATTGGGTAAAGTTTAGAGGTGTGAGACAAGTATCTCAAAACCCTGTATGTGAGGAAACAACAAAAAACCCATATGTGACCTACTTACAGAGAAATTCCTTTTTTCTTCCCAAAATACAACCCAGTAGTACTGGTCAGGCTCCACATAATAAAACCATCAACTATAACTGTCATTATAAATAAAGCAAATTGTGTCTTAAATGATGAAAAACAAATATCTTGGTTTGCTCCTTTGGTCTCTATTTTAATAGCTAATTTGCTAAACTCCTTGGGAATTAACTGTTCTTAATCATACTGCTTATTTTAAGATGTGTTTATACTAGACGGGGGAAAAAAAGGAAAAGAAAAGAAAAAAAAAGATTACAGTAAACTCTAATGAAAACATTCGAAAAGTGTTCATCCCCAAATTAAAACCAGTACAGTCTTCCAAATTGATTATTGGCTTGCTTATTTTGAGTGTTTACAGTGCTTTTTAGATTAGTGTAGAAAACAATCCCTTAAAGCTTGTTTCAATTTAAATGTTTAAATGTTTATAGATGAAATCAGGAAAAGTTACAAAACTACCTTCCATTCCCATTAAAGTGTTTCATGTTAACTCCTTTTAACTTTCTAATTTGTCTTAAAATTCCAACTCTAATTTTTACCAATTTATTTAACTTAAACAATTCTGAACGAAGCTCCTAGTTTAAAGATCTGTGGCAGAATGATCCATGTAACAAATTTGGTAATATATTAATATTAAATATATTTCATATTGGACAGCAAGTTTGAACAGCAAGCAGAGAATTCCATTCAATTGGGAAACATTTCTTTACAATCTTAAGACAAAATATTTTATTCTAATTTTTTGTTGAGGAAGATTCACCCTGAGTTAACATCTGTTGCCAATCCTCCTCTTTTTGCTTGAGGAAGATTGGCCCTAACATGCGCCAATATTCCTCTATTTCATATGTGGGTTGCCGCCACAGCACGGTTGATGAGTGGTGCAGGTCTGCACCTGGGATCCAAACCCGTGAACCAGGGCTGCTGAAGTGCAGCATGCCAAACTTAACTACTATGCTATGGGGTCGGCCCAACACAAAATATTTTAGTGAGAGAAATATAACTGCTATACTTTTCTCACTGCACATAAAGGAAATGATTTAATTATAAAGAACAAAGTAAAATAGAACTCTCATGTAATAATGGTATAAGTGTGAAGAATAATCTGAAGAAGAGAATTCTACCCCTCAAATTTTCCATTTCCAATACCTAATACAGCAATAGCTTTCAGATTACATATTTCTTTTTCCTATATAACCATCCACACACCCATAATGTTTCGAATACTGGTAAGCCCATTAGATAATAGAGAAAGACCTAGCTGTACATTTAAGGTCACAATGTAATGGATGAGAGAAAAATATATGCTTATTTCCATGAATATTATTAAAATTATCTTAAGAAAATTACCTTCTAAAATAAAATTCAAACATACATTAACCTCCATCCTCAAAAAACCATTGGATTATAAATAAATAAAGAGATTCCAACGATGTAATTCCAAGTTATCCAAGTCAGCAAGGGCACTTGTAAGCATTTTCTCTTTTTCATCCCTAGCTGTAGCACTTAGGAGAAAATTTCAATGTGTATTGCACCTGAAACTCTTTCAAGTACCCCCAACTAGGAAAAGATTGTAAATATAAGAGGC